TATTATAACATAACAGATGGTCTTCCCTTAAATATTTTTAAACAAAGCAAGCATAAAATATAAGATTTTATCGAATAAATAAACATAAGTTATGAAAATTAGTATTTAAATATTAAATAAATAAATTAACTGTATAAAATTAACTGTAGATATTACTGATAATGATAGCCTTAAATTTCCTATTTAAATAGAAATAGAAACATATTTCTCAAACTTTTTAAAAGTAATTCGTAGTTTCTTCTTTCTTATTGCGCAAAAAATAATACTGTTTATACTTATTTGTCGACGAAAGTTAAAAGATACACTTAGGAATATAAACAGAATTTACAAAACTCCAAATCCTTTTCAACTGTCGTCTTACTCACAATCAGTTTAAATACGTAAAATAAGAAAAAAACTATTATACAAGTAGCGAAAGATTTATTCATATTTAAAACAGTATTCAACTCAGGGCAAATGCTAAGCTCCTTTCTTTCAGGATATTCTGCTTTGAGGGATTAAAACTTTTGTTATAATGCGAGTTTTAAACAATAACAGCATAATGTAGAACGAGTTTCAAATAATTTACCCTTAGAACTCGATTATACATAAAAATAGAAAGAGAATTAATTTCAAAGGCCTTGTATTAAAACGGGTTTATATTTTACTCCGAATGTTTTTAAATAATTAATCAGGAAGCTACTGTTATTGTTAGAAATGAGTCTGTAACAATCACGATGGGGTTGTTTAATAGGGTTAGTAGGTACTTTGAAGAGACATAAAATTATGATGAATAATTTTAAAATAACTGTTGGGTATAACTTTTATTATATTTATAATACAAACATTGTGTTTGTTGTTGTGTCATTGTTTTGTGATTTTGTAATTCATTTTTTACGAAGAAGACATAAAAATATTCTTTTTGAAGTGAAACTTCTTTACGCACAGTAGGGTAAGTTCGTTTCATGCGAGTTGCTATGTAACGAAATTATGCAACGGATGTCCCCCTTCTACTCGACCACGTAGTCGATCGCTTGAGCCGTGAGCGCGCTTCAATGCAACGTTCGTTACAGGCAACTCAATGTATAATGTAAAATTTAAATTTATAGTGTACAAATAATACCATTAAACCAATTCCTTAACCCCTATCCCGGTATGTTTGTGTGTTTGAAGAAGTTTCACTTCAGTAGCGTGTTGTATAATTACACGTTGTATTTTTTTATATTACATTTGATTATTACAACCCAGAAAATTTAAGAATTTTCAAATATCAAGAAAAATTATTTTTAGTTGAACCTTTACCTTTTTGTGTTTATTTCTTTCAAAAGGCATTTAAAACAATGCATCACTGTTTCCATAGATTAAAACAAGTCTAATTTCTTTTGAGGAAAATTAATATCAGGCAATCGATTCCAAGGAAGTTTTCTTTGAAGCTTATTTCTTATTGTGGCAAGTCCAATAAAGAGCAATTTTCAATTCGCTTAACGTGGATAAAAATTATTTGAAAGTTAAATTATCTCTTTTTATTATTCAATACTTATAAGTGACGCTCTTAACATCATAATTGATAAAATGTATTCCTTATTCTCTGTGGGCATACTTTCAGGAATTAATTTAAACATTATCTTCTTAAATGCATTACTTCCGGAGTTGATATGACATTCCTAAATCTGAACTGGTAGTGGGAAACCAAGCATTGGCTTGTCAATATTGGATCAATGTTCGGTCAATTTCCAAGAGCCAAGGTTCGATAATAAAAATCAAATTCACCACAACAATTTTACAAAACCGTGGACACGTGTTTGGCTCACTTGTTGTTGTGAGCATTCTCGACTTAAGTTTCAAGTGACAAATCAAGCATTTTCCAAGCTTAGTCCAACGTTAGACAATCGTGGGCCAAGCTCGGACAAAGCTTGATCCTGTTTTGATTTCCTACGTCATCATTATAAGGTCGTGGTTGAACACGCACATCTACTTTTTCCTAT